GTGGCGCTTGAGAGAACATATGCAGTCGTAAACCTCCGAGGCCGTAGGTGGTTCCACGTTCACCGTCCAGGGTTCTACCTCACCTATGGTATTAGGTAATTAGGGGAACAAGATGGTCGTATTTCATACTTTTTGAGAAGTGATGCGCCACTTGTTGGCACACAGGTTCGATCCACTGTTGTGGATCACATCTGAACAGTGTCATTACCAGTCTTCTCCAATATCGTACATAAACCCATATACCATCCCAGATTATTATTGTCAGTGTTGTTTTTGTCCTCTGAAACCAGTTTGTTCGCTCATTGACAGTAACCTTTTTAACTTCCAGGTCACTGTCTTCCGTCATCAAAATTAACTAACACGCACTCCAAGTGAGTTTTCGACATGGCTGTTTTGATGATGCCCAATCGTAGGTGCCATTTGAAGCTTCATCCGTTTGAGATGGAAGTTCATGATTGCCCGACTTTCTGAATATTCAAAAGAAATCACTAAGACTTTTTTCGTCTCTTTTTACAGCTACGAACTTGCCGCTCTCTGGATAACAGAGAACCCCGCATCTTCTCGAACATCTTGGTGATCGAAGCCTCCGGAGGTCTTCCTTCATTCCAAAGGCTTATGTTTCATGTTCTTATTCATACCACAATAATAACATGATTTCCACCACCCTGTGGTGTTTTTCTAGGCATCTGGCGTCCGCTCCTTCAAAACAGTTCCGAAAAACTATGATAAATGTGTTTATTTACGGTGACTTTGATTTCCACTCTTATTCTCTTCACAATACGGCTTTCAAATAACTCATGGTAGTCCGGAAGCGAAGTATCAGTGTTGTACACTGTTTCCGTGCTATTGATGATGATGATGACTGATTACAAGCCATAAAAAAAACTAGGCATTATAGCGGTGGTTCTTTGCCAGCCAACAAGTCGGGATACTTGTGTGTACTAATTTTTAGTACCCTGAATGCATTTCTAGCTCATTCTGCCGTTGTACGACGTGTTTGTGTACACAGCATTCACCCGCTCCATTAGAATTTCCATCATACTCCACTCCGATTTAACTCGAGTATAGTTAATCGATGGAGCGTCTGGAAATGCGCCCAGATTACGAGCCGGATGAATTTTTCCTTTTGTCCTTTCCGTTAACCCAGTTGCCGTTCTTAAGTTTGATGTCTGAAACGGAATTTCGCATGCAACAACAGCTGACTATGTGGTGCTAAATTTTACGGAATGCAGTATTTTTTGGCCCAAGACAGTACTGTCGTTTCCGGTTGGCGATAACTGGACACAATTTTTCCCCGCAACAATCACGTGTTTGTCCAGCCTAGTTATCAAGTTCATAAATAATGCTGGATTGGTCCTACTGGTTGCGCTTTACTTCGACACGGTTTTATTTTGATACCATCGAAAGATGTAGACACCTTATTCTTGACCTTTTTTCCTAGGTACACAGGAATCCTTCACACTAAGGCCCTACCATTTCCTTTTGTTCCCGCTATTTACTAAGGCTTTCCCCACGTTTGCACGACAGTTGTGGCGATGATAATAAGAGAGTTATTTGTTCTTTGAAAACTCACTCAATCACGGTCCACGACAAGCAACTTCGATATTGCCATTGTTTTAGACATGCTGAAAAGCTTTCGGCACCCTCAAAGTTCTGTTTCATATCTTATAGTTTTGTTTGCCAGAGGAGGCGCTAAGCCATGTGTTAGTAAACCTTTTCTCTGTCCATTTGTCCACTTCGTAACGTAGAATCTGGCTCGCAGGTTTTGAGTCCAAAGCTCCTGGCAATGTGAGACGCTCATCTGTGCAAGTGAATTTTCCGATCAGCGTTACTAGGTTATGCGTAATCAGAACCTCCTGTCTGTGAATTAACACTGTTGCGTTCAGTTTCATTGCTATTGTTTCTGCAGTCCTGCCTTTGTTTATCTGATACGTACTAACTGGTTAGTGTGTTAGCTATTTGTCACAGCAGCCCAGTACTTCAGCGTGAGTCACTAACCGACCACTGCTTCTCACGGCGACTTGATAGCCGGGTGTGTGCGCTGAGATTTTGTAAAGCAATGAGCTTTTCACTGTTTTAAATGCTCAGATTTGTGAACTGTTGAACAGTAATGCGGCTACTGCCTCACATCAATGCTGTCATCAGTAACCGTATGATAATTTCCACACTGTGTGGATAATTATGTTATCCTAAATTGTCCGATCTGGTGCGGCCGATTCATAGTGTATATAAAAAATATGAACTTGAGGGAATCTTAGCCGAGCAGCAGAGTGGGACCATCCGAATTCCCATTCAGTAGTCTTTATCGTATACGTCATCCGTTGGTCGCATAATCGAATCACTGAACATTGTGAACACGTGGAGGACTGATTGACTTTGTGAAGCAAACCAGTTTCACTCAGACTAGAATCCCACCCTAGTTCCACTTTCGCCATGGTACTCAGTCATTCTGACTGGATCAATGAGCGGTGGACAAATTTGAGGTTATTCGGTTTGCTGACCATGTGCGCTTGTTGATTCATCCACTTGATCCAGGAAGTCTAAAGCCCGATTTCATATCGTGGTTACTGTGGTGGGGTAAGTAGGTGTCGACAAGCTCGTTGATACATAACCATGGCTGAAGATTTGCTAGTTTTGTTTTTCAAGGCGAGATGAGCTGAGTCTGGCTGGCCGGGGTGATTCTAATGTTCACCATGGCCTGACTTTTCGATGGTTTTTTCCTGTTACTAACAGGACCTTCATATTTCAAGGTTTCAATGCAATGTGCCACTTTGCCAGATAAAATGCTCAATTGTATTGACCCGAACCTGGGTCCAGTTCTTACCTTGGCATCAACTAACTCGAATAATCGCATCGGGATAGGAGAAAACTGTTCAAGTGCTCAAAAATATCTCGTATGTAGTCCTTTATGGGTTGTAGTTTTCCACGTGTTTTGTAGCACTTTTGTCCAATAATCATGTTCAACTTCTAAATACCACTTCAATTGATGCAAACAAATCAGAAATATACCTCTCCCCACAAATATAAATGCTTCCCTTTAAGTACCTGATATTTTGCCCGCTTTGTGATGCTAATATAGAAGAAGGAAATATTCAAAAGTGAGAGCTGAACAAGAGTTTACACAGTGGAATTCCTCAGTTTATGAATAGAAATTGCAGGGATACTGTTACGCTACCTCGAAGGAAGTGAATCCTATATACCGCGCAGCACCGGTTGCGTTAACACACGCATTTTATCTGCCTTTTATTTTTCGATGCTGTTCGCCTACTGTCGAAGTCGTAAGTAGCACCTTCCGCGCATAGTAAGAGTACAGCGTGTCATATTTGCTGCCAGTTTAACCGTCGCTACACTTTTTGTGCTGACTGAGTTGACCATCGCCAATATACCCCATGACTGAAGGGGATCGAGTTGACTTGAGTGCGTGAGAAACAGTTTTTTGAAATTTTGCATGACTGCCTACGTGTATGTGCTTCTGAAGATATTTGAACATGCATTATTAGTTGGAGTTGGCACTATCCAGATAACTGAATGAACACGCCAGTTCGCATGTCAACGATCGTGCTCTGCGCACCAAACCGGTGCATATCTTACGTATTTGTTGGTTTCAGACTTGTTCGCCAAACTTGACGTGGTCAACATCTTCCGGATTCCTCCTGTTAGTGAAAATATTTTTTGATGTTGTGGTTGGTCGTGACTATCGAAATTCGGAAGCTCGGATTGGGGAAACATTTAAAGTGATGGACAGATCATCCCTCTATATAGGCGTTTACAAACACAAGATATTGCTCCCTTGGCCTTAGTTACTTGAAGTCAAGTCCTTGTTTGTAGTTTGTCGGCGCTCATAGTCTAAAAGCCCCGTCTCCTAAGAACCGTTTAAAATACCATGGCCTCACCCTATCTGCTGCCTTCGATTAACCCACCCCCCACATGCAAGCTGCCGTTTGTCGAATCCGACGGCTGTTTATTCCCTCAAACTAAGGACGCTACTTTTCCGCGAAGTTACTACTTTATGTGTCTTTTGGTTTAATGCCGTTGGCCATAATCAAGATCGCCACCTTGCATTTAGTTCCCCGAAACATGCCTCCGGGCGCCGTGGATCTTAAGTCATGTCTCAACTAGTTCTATAGTCAGCAAGTACATTGACACTTGCCAACCTCTACTCAATATAATCTATCGGTTAGTCTGCATCCTCCTTATTGTATTTTACCCGAGACCGTATTCGTCTTCTCAGCATGGTTCAGACAGACGTTCGCTTACCAGAGCTAGGTAAAAGCTACCGGAATTCAGTGATTCCCTACATGATTCGGTATCTCTAAACCCCTAAACATTGCGCAGTGCACTATCATCGAGTTATCTGGCGTAATGTGCTCCATGCGGAGAATTGTCTTGCCACCTTAGTAGTGAAGTGTTTGCGTAAAGTTCTAAAGATTGGAGTAATTCTGTTTTCGTTTGATGAGTAGGTTTTAGCGTAATTTTCTCGTATGCACAAACCTTTGTCTCTGAGACGGCCGTGCATCACGATCGTCTACCTTACCAATGGGGACGTTTTGTCGATTTCATTGTTCTTTCTCTACGTCGCTCAATAAGCCCGGTAACAAGCTCCATTCCTTTCTTTTGAGTCCTAGCAACCAAAAGGTCAGGCGCATCCAGACGCCCACATCAATGGAACACTCGTTCCAGTTAGCCAGTGTTTCTCACAAAAAGGGATGAGGAGATGAGACGAAACACGTGTTCGACATGACGACAAATGCCCTCATAATCTGTTACAGCACGCGCGTTTCCTGTTGCCAGTGTCCCAGACGACTCAAACAATAGTCTAATTAAACGGTGTTCAGACAACCCGGTGACTGGAAATATTCGGTCACGTCGTTGATGTTTTTGAGGGCATATGTCTGGGTCCCTACGATAGGATGGAGTTTCTTCTTTGCACCAGTCTAACCATAATGTCCCCCAATAGCATCATCACACGTGTATGTGGAAATGAAGAGACAAATGAAATGTTCGGAAAGCTGCCACATTGTCTGTTAGTTATGTTGACGTTATGTTGGATCACTCTCGTAACTAAAAGCTACTGATACTATTCATTATCTCTGCTCAGTGTCCAAGAGTAACTTACTCTAAATGCCATGCGGTCTGGTGCGAGATATGTTGGTATCCGGTAGCTTGCAATGGTTGTTCTGTAAGCTGCAACATACCGGATCCGGACCGCTAGTATGAATTATCAGTGCAACAAGCTTTTCTAGTTTTCTTCCACAAAACTTATGAGGTGTCGAACGGAGGTCGCTGTTAGAGACTATGTGCGAAGATTACCGCAAAGTTCCTAACGATCAGCTTACTAGTGGACTAGCCAATTTGTCAGGGACGAACTGTCAGCATTTTTCGTTATTTGGAGTCACAAATATGGAACATGTAGACAGAAAACGAACTGAATTACATGTCGATCGTCTATCCATCGTAAGTTGTTATCTCCTGAGATGCCTTCCGCACCATGCGCCTGTTCATAAATCAGACTGAAGTGGTGTGCTCAGGTTGCGATCCTCCTAACTGGGGTACTGGCCAGTACGCATTCGATAGATCAAAGTTAATACCTTGACCGGGGTTAGCTGGTGATTCGGGTCTATCAGGTGAGCGGTGATTCATCGAATGTCACTTCTACTTTGGCAGCTGCTGAAGCGAAGTAATTGCGACCAAAAAGCAAAAATATGTAATGTTTGTCGCTTCACCTGAACGAGTGAGGGAAGTCTTACTGCAAACACGTCAGGCAAAAACCTGACGTTTCAAATAGCCCACATAGTAATGTGTTCCTGCGTTGCATACTACATGAACAAGAACTCCGTAGTAAACATTTGAAGATGCCTTCTATTGTGGAACCGGGTGTTTGCCTTATGAACCTCGTCTACTGTCACCGCCATCCCGAAGCGTTCTTTGAGGAGAATGGTTCAGAGTTCTCTCGTTCGAATTACTGCGCAACGTTTCATTGACTGTTCTCAAAATGTTCTGCCTTCCCTTTACGGAACGCAAACATAGGTAGGGAGGTTTGCTTATGAAAAGACTTCATTCCATTTATGTGCACTTGTAAGTACTTGATATGCATGTGCATCTTCAAGCTGGACTGATCAGCAAGAAATCTTGATTGAAAATATTCCCAAATCTCCTTATACTCCCAACAATGAATTGATCACGTTGCTATAGTATTTCTAAGTGATCGCTAATGGAACCACTAAGGCGGTCTATGTGGAGACGGACGCTTTTGGAGAAGCATTGTAACCCAGGGCTTAGCCATCCACTTGAAGATACAAACATAACCATGGCGCCTTTTTTCTAGTCAGGCAGTTGCCAGGATAGAAAATGGCTTGGGGATCGGGGTAGGAAGATAGTGGTTTTCCGCATAAATTCCATAGCGTGGGTTTTCCGAAACTCTTCAAGAGTAGTCAGTCTGTAGAGATGATCGCTGTGTATGAAAGCCCTGTAGAGCGGTTTGGTCGCATGTTGTGGCTGTATTCTCATTCGACCATACCAAAATGGCTGGTTGTCCTGCACTTGGAAGGTTGGGGTCCCTTGCACTAGACTATGAGCTTTCCCAAATACCCAACCACCATGCGGTGGTATACCACTGAAAGGGAAAACCTGTGAGAACAGACATGTTTGGCTTGTAATTGGTTACGGAACACATCTTTATGATTAAGCGAACGGTGGTGTTTATTGTGACGGCGTATACTTGTATTCAACCCGTTCAAATATCACGGTTGGCCAAACATTCAATCCGTATCATATATATATATATATATATATATATATATATAT